TATCATTGTAGGAAAATTCTACTACCAGTCCTTGATCACCTTAGACGAAATAGGGTGAATACATCTCATTACACTGATTTACTCTACTACCAGTCCTTCATCACCTTACACGAAATAGGGTGAATACATCTCATTACACTGATTTACTGGTAGTACTACCAGTCCTTCATCACCTTACACGAAATAGGGTGAATACATCTCATTACACCGACTACCAGTCCTTCATCACCTTACACGAAATAGGGTGAATACATCTCATTACACTGATTTACTGGTAGTCACTTCCAGTCCTTCATCACCTTACACGAAATAGGGTGAATACATCTCATTACACTGATTTACTGGTAGTCTCGATACTACTCAAATACGACTTGGTGTGATAAGCCAGGCAGATCCAATGGAATAACGAATTCGCTCCAATCGCGGTGATTAAGTCATGATAAAAGCGCTCTTCTTTGTCCGATGACAACGTGTTGAGATGCAATCCGGTGACGAGGCGAATCGTCGCGGCGATGACAGGTTGAGAAGAGTCACTTCGAGACATTCGGATGCTCCGCCGTTTCTACGCCATGTTGTTTTGTCTTATAGGCCCACTAATTGGTGACAGCTCGGAACCTCGGTACACAGCGAATTGCACACATTCGATGTGGAAAGACAGAGTGAGGATGGGTCGCTAAACCCCCACGCACAATTCGAGTCCTACTAGAAGTACCGATGAGGTACTGCAGCTTAGACAGGATGAGAAAGACCTTGAGGGGTGCATGCTGAAAGGAGATCCGATGCAAAAATCTAGTCCCCCCCTTAAACGACTTTGACTTTCTAAGCAAAAGCTATTCGAGCCATGTTCATGTCTAAAGCAACAGGCTACGAAGTGACACCGATACGACTTGCATACTCTCCCCATACCTCATACCGAGACAAGACATACCTTCAAGTGGTGCTGCCGTTCGTCCCATTCCTTCTATGTATCCAGTATGTATGCACACTTGTGCCAATCCATTCGCAGGCTATCGTGCACTGCTCCTCTTGCGATCGGGTCGTAATTGCAGGTTATTTGACGAAAATGGTGTGATTGGGCGACTGCAGAGGCAACCCATCGCTCGCGGGAGGGGCGGGAGTGTGGGTTGGTTGGTTTTGGGAAAAAGTTGTCTCATTTCTGGGCCGGTGCTTGAGACTTCAACTGGCCCCACGTGGGCTAACGACAGATCAGAAACCGTCTGCAGCACCACCAACAGGCTGCCGAACGGCAAATTAAGCAACCACGCCTCCAGACGATTGTTTTAGAGTTGAAATAGTTTAAGTTTAATGGCGCTTCCAATGACTTTATCCCAAAGGTCGGCATGGCCACGTCAAGTGGACGCGTCTTACTTGTTTATAGCGGCTGGGCTGGCGGGGATGATCGCAATCACAAGCACCGACCCAGAAAAGAGACTAGCTCTAGTCGCCCAACCGATCCACATTCTTGCTCCTCCTGCACGAGCTGGCTTCTCTTTCTTCACCCAATCTCATTGCCTATATCTACCAACATTTCATTGCGACAACACATACGGGAGGCGCAGTGCACGACGACTGTAGAGTGGATTGGCAGAAGTGCACATGCGATTTGGACGACACCGATCGTTGCATACCTTACAATGCCATGCCAACTATGCAAGAACCGAACTTACGTTAGGACGATATGAAGACCACGATGTTGTGGCCTCTGGTATGGTCGCAGTCTCCTTTCGATTGATACAAGTGGGTTGACCTCGTTGTTGCAACCTGGTCTTGTCGTCAGGGCGACTATGTAGAAGGCACCTATTCCGAAGTCGTCTGTCATAGTAGTTGTCATGACTCCCAGCATCCGACAGTGGACTTGATACATTCTCAAACGTTTCGCCGGTATCTTCAGTCAATTTTGCCAGTGGGATAACAGTGTGAAGAGTAGATGGATAGGCGGGGACCGAAAGGGGAGTGATAGTGTAACCGTTTTCGTCAGAACGGTTGTCGAGGGATTGGCTTCACTTGTCTCTTTGACGAGTTCATATCTTCGTGCGGCGAATGGCAAAACTGACCGAGGATGCCGACTACGATGCCGGCTAAACGTTTGAGAATGTACCAAGTCCACTGTCAGATGTTGGCAATCATGACAACTACAATGGCAGATGACTTCGGACAAAGTGTGTCCTGTCAACAAGACCAAGTTGCGAAAACTAGGTCAACCCACTTCTACTTTTGCCAAGTTGAATAATCTAATTGTTTAAACTTGGCTTAACTTTTTACCTGTCATCATTTCAGGGTGTTGATCGCGACTTCATTCTAACGCCTTGAT